GTGGTTCTCCTCTGTCCCCACTCTGTGACTGTGAGCGTGGTTCTCCTCTGTCCCCACTCTGTGAGCGTCGTTCCCCTCTGTCCCCAGGTGTTGCTGAGTCAAGTCCACCGAGTGCGCGCCCTTGACCTGTTGGGGAAGTTTCTGGACCTGGGACCCTGGGCCGTGAACCTGGTATGTGCTGTGATAGATATATCTATAGATAGATTTCTATCACACCCAATCCCCGATTGAGCTACAGGCGCTTTACATCAGAGATGTGGTTTTTCCAGGTTTTTTTTGTTATTTCCATTATGTTCTCACAAAGAATAGTTGTCATCCTCAGCAGTTGTCATCCTCAGCAGTTGTCATCCTAGGCAGTTGTCATCCTAGGCAGTTGTCTTCTGTTTGAGCCCATCCTTGCTGTGTCTATTTATTGTCTTTGTTTGCAAATGCATCGTCATAATGTTCAGAGCTTCCCACAAAGTCCCAGTGACATCCCGGAGAAATGAAATCTGTCATTCACGTAAACGTTCAAGTTCATAGAAATATCAGCATTCATCAATACACACTGACAGTCATGTGTACACACACATACGCCCTCACACACTCACATGTACGCACACACACACTCACACATACGCACACACACACTCACATGTACACACACACACACACTCACATGTACGCACACATACTCTCACACATACGCACACACACACTCACACGTACGCACACATACACTCACACGTACGCCCTCACACACTCACATGTACGCACACACACACTCACATGTACGCTCACACATACGCACACACACACTCACACATATGCCCTCACACACTCACATGTACGCACATTGGATCTCTGTTTTCTGTGGTGTAGCAGTGAGGAGCCTGGCTATGACACGTTTGATCTCTGTGTTCCCTCATTGTGTTTTTGCTGTGTTTATCTTTCAGGCTTTGTCCGTGGGTATCTTCCCCTACGTTCTCAAGCTGTTGCAGAGCTCGGCCAGAGAGTTGCGCCCCTTGTTAGTCTTCATCTGGGCCAAAATTCTGGCAGTTGATTCTGTAAGTCTGGATGAATAAAGTGTTGTGTGTGTGTGTGTGTTTTATGTGTGTGTGTGTGTGTGTATGTATCATTGTTTCTGTCAGTGCTGTCAACCATTATATGAGAAACGTATTTGATATGTGTTTGAGGGTCGGAGTACGGAAGTCAGTTTTTGTGTTGGAAACTCTCTGTGTTGTCTGTTGGCTAGTACTGCTCCTTGTGGACCTGCCAGTGCTGTAAGGAAAGTAGGAAAGATCATTATCAAGAAGTGGGTGGTTGGCGGGTGCTCTGGTGTGGTTTGCTCCTTCTTTCCTATCAAACATCTATCGTCTTTACCACCCCTCCTTTTTTGTGTTTGTTACTCTCTTGTAACACCTCTACTCTCGGTCACTTTTATGACCTTATTGTGTTGCAAGTGCCGTAAAACTCTTACTAAAACTATTAACTGTCAAGAAGGGATTTGTGAATGATGAGAAGGAATTGTGAAGTCAGTTGTGGTCTTGTCACTGACCATAGTAAACTTGTGAGTATGAATTGTGTGAAGGTAGGAAAGTGTGTGTGTGAAGGGTTTGGGGGGAGGTGGGG